ATCTTAGAAATGTTTTCTAGAAGGGACATCAGAGATCATCACATTCAGTGATGCCCACTCTTGGTTGCCAATGGAAACCACCCATGGCACTTCAAAGAAAAAAAAAAACCTGATGCAAAGGTCTCATACCAAAGATTCTGGTGAACTGGCCTAGACTGACTGATTTTTAAAACAGTATTTTACAAAGTGGCTCAAGTAATTCTAATTAATAGCCAGAGCTGGGAATCAGTGATGTGGCTCAAACTCTCCCTGGCCCCATTTATAGAGGCAGAAGGACAAATGATTTGCTGAAAGTGACATGGATATTGTGGAGGGAGCGAGCAGGGATTCAGATCCTAAATCTAGGTCTCTAAACTTCTTCAACGTCCTTCTTCAGCAGTTTGCCAACAATGATGTTCAGCAGACAGCCCAAAACATAAGTATTATCAAGTGGATGTCTTTCAATTAACCTGGAGTGATTTTAACTTGAGATGAAATATGAACTGGATAGTTTCAGTTTCGTTTCCATAGCTGAATCAAAAGATGAATCCAAAAGATGAAAGAATTTTATGTATTGCCAGGAATCTGGCAAAGGAAGACAAAGTACCTGTGTGCCCTGAAATATTATACACTTCTAAAAATTAAATAGACTAATTAGAGGCATGAAGTTTAAAAAGGTACACAAAATATAATTAGAGGCCCAGCCATAGTGAATGCTGGGCTCAGACTAACTCCAAAGATGTAAAAGTCAATGAATGAAAATCTAAGAGAAATACAAATGGCCAATAAATATATAAAAACAGTCTCACTCATGGTGAAAAAATGGGAATACTACTACACTTTGATTTACTGCATTAGCAAGAAGTAAAAAGACTTGATCAGCCAGGCTGGCAAAAATGTGAGGAAGAGATTAATTCTATGCATTTTGGGGAACTGCATGGTTTCCAGACAGTATCTGCACATCCGGAATATGTAGGGCATAAAAGATCCTGGGAGAGGAAGTCATTCAGAAAGGATTTCTGTTCTTCATCACTTCTGTTACTTCAGCTGCCTTTGCGACTGCTCAGCAGCATATTTATGTTCATCTAGTACAAGCGTGAACACTTTCTGAATTAGCTCCTGAGAGAAGTCAGCAGCACGTAGGCTACTCTCCCTGTCCTTAGCTTCTATCCAGAGCCCACTTCAGTAGCAGACTTCAGGGCTGGACAAAGCAATGCTCTTCCATGACACTCTATCTTAACTTTCTTGTCACCATGCAAGTCAGCTCCTGGGTGGCAACCTTCCCACCAGCTCAGTTGCTGGATATATGTACAGTATCTTTCTGTCATTTAATGAGTATGCACTGGTGTCAAAATAGCTTTTCGTTTTCTTGTGTTGCATTTTGTTCCCCAACAACCCTATAAAGTAATTATTTCTATCTGTATTTTACATGTGAGAAAACTGACATTCAGAAAGTTTAGATGGCTTTCCTAAGGACACACACCTTGTAATCAGCAGTAGAGGCTCTGATCTTCTGGGTTAGAAGTCTCATTTGTATTTATAAAAAATAAGTTTGGAAGGTGAAAATATACTTTTCCACCAACTTCTTCTTCCAGAAGACATTGTATCTGAACAGATCCCAGCAAAAATGGCCAACAGATGGGAAACTTGCCAGACGGAGCCACTCCTGATCCTGAGCCTGAATTCCAAGGTTCTGCTCCCTTCATCTCTGAGGTACTGCACCCTTCCCTGCCAAACTCCCTGTCCACCTCCATGCTCACTGGTCCTTGAGCTACCTCTGCTGTATATTCAGTAGAGGAAGAGGCCTCTGCTGACAGTGCTACCATCTGCTGTGATCTGGTGGCTCTGCCATGCCCTCTCTAGTGCTCTAACTTTGAGGCCTTTTGCTTCTTCTGAGAAAATGGGTAGAACCTGAACAAGTTCACCCTAGTTTATCCGCTTCAGTCTAGGCACTTAGGGCTCTTCTTTATCAGATCCCTCCCTGTCCCACGGGAAAGAGAAGAGCTTTCTTTCTCCTATGGCAGAGTGTAGGTTGACCCTGTCTCATAGACCTGCCTAGAAAGACAAAACAGTGCTCCATGGAGATGGCGAGACTCTGACCATGACTCCAAGCCCCTTGATACAAGCACAGCAGGAGCACTTGACTAACTGCACTTGGCCCAGGCATTCACTAGTCAGGGCTTTAGGAGACTTTTTATGAACATACATAAACACTGAAAAATATAAAGGCTGACACTCTGGTCACCAGGAAGCCTCCATCTGAACCCACCTGTAACTTGCTCCTATTAGTTCTGCTTATTGCAGGTATTATTTGTGCATGGCAATCAAGGCTGGATGCCCATGACCACCTGCTCGCCGGTGTTAACTGCCAGCTCCTTAGAGAAAACAGCTTTCACCACCCCTATAACTCAGTTCCAATAAAACAATCCAGATTCTAGCCTTGCTTGAGAAGGTGCCTTTAGAGCATGCTCTTGCTCTTCTCATTTTTGGCCACTGAATAAAAATTTCCTGCTAGTCTTAAAATTGTTTGGCTATTTATGAGCAGTATCGAGTAGGAAAAGAAGCAGCAAATTTGATAACACTCCCTGTTTCCAACTTTGAAAAAAGAATCAAATTATGTGATATAATGAAAAATTGCCTTAAGGAATCTAATCAAGAAACTCAAAACTTCAGTGGATTCATTTTAAGATATTCCCAGCCAAATGGAATGAACCACCCTAAGACATACGTACAACACTGTCTGTTTCCGTATTAATGTGGACTCATTAGCAAGTAACAGAAATGGAATCAGACTCACTTATGCTGGTATTAAGAGTTTAAAGTCTCCTCTACTCAGCCATGGAAAATGCCATGGAGAACTAGGCTTGGGGGCATCTGAAACTAAAGCTCTCATTCTGAAATTCTCTTCATTGGCTTCTTCTCTGTCCCCATCTGCCTTCTAGTTTCATTCCGTCTGAGTCCAGAGGTACGAGTGAGAAGTTAGGAGATGGAAGGGTAACCATCAACAACAGCAGCCCAGACTCATAGTCCTTCTGTTCCACCCATGAAAGCAAAAACTCTCAGCAGCAGTACAAAGATCCTGAGAAGGACTCAAATTGGATCACCTGACCATGTCTGATACCTGAGATGAGTTTTTTTAAATAACTTTTTACTATCATACATAATTTATTAAAACTGAAGAGGAGAAAAGTGGTCTGTAGTGTTTATCAGTATCTTTTTTTTCATTAACTTTATTGATACATTGTAGGTATACAACACAGTTACATTCATCTTTGGGATTTTGTACCTTTACATGACTGAGAACAGTTTTATCACTGTAATAAAGGGGAAGGAGTATTAGGCAGAAAACATAATATAGACATTATAGTCTACATAACTAGCACTTTTAAAATGCTTTTTTATGTCATTTACATGATCAGTTTTTTACTAGTCTGAAATAAGATTTCCACAGAGAGAATTATAATTGATAAAACTGTAACTACTGGAAGTTAGGTGTTAAGCTATTAATCATATTTTTCCCTTTAACTTACTTGACAGAATTTTAATGATATATTTATTGTATGGCCATTTGATTATTGCTTGTCTCTTCAACTGGAATGCAAATTCCATGATGTATCACAAGTACAAATACTTTTATCTACCACAGTTTTCTCAGCATCTAGAACACTGCTAGCAGAGAGATGGCATGTGACATATCTTCCAACTGACTGACTTTGATGCTAAATTCAGTATAAGTCAGCACTAGATGATTCTAAAGTAACTTAAATAATTGTAAGAAACACTGTATGAAAGAGAAAGGGAATGGGATGAATGCCTAGAATTGTAAGATCCAGCTAGCTTCATCATTCACGGCCTTCCAGGATATACAGAGAACAGAGACACGGTAATTTCAGAGAGTAAGTGTCTGATGAGCTAAACATTAAAAACTGAAGATGGTCATAAAAGAAAAAGGCTCAAAGTTCTAGCTAATTGGGAAAACAAAAGTTTGCAAAAGAGCTGATATTTTTATTATTCAAAACTCAGAATTGAGCTTAAGAAACTTAACCACCTATCACTGTATTTCTATTTGACCTAATTTTAAAATGAAAATGTCATTACACAAGATGTCCAGATCTCTTAAGTGGCCTGTGTTTAATGGAACAACATCCTGATGAGAATCACACTGCTTAAGCACTTTATTGGGCTGGTTCTTGCCAGAGGTACACTTTTCAATATGTCTCTCTGAGTCTCTGTTAATTTAGTTCTGCAGCTTCTCTGATGAGGACTTTATGTGCCTGGGCCTAGGAAAGCTACTAAGATGGAAGGAGGACAGCCTGCAGGATACTTGGCTTGGAATGGGGCATCCCTACTGCAGTGTGAGTTCTTAGCATGTGGACAGAAACAGATCTGGGGAAAAGGTGTCATACAGAAAGGGCTGTGGCCTGCAGGCCTAATGAATGTTTGCCCGTGGTGCAGAAAAGCAATTTCACCTTGACGAAAGAGACTGAGACAGAAAAAAGGGTTGTAGGAGGGGAAAAAAAGCATGGTCTTACATATTGATATTTCTTTTTCTTTTAAACTTTCTCTATGCTAGTGGAGAATTAGGGAGGAGGATAACAGGGAACTGAGGCAGATGGGAGACTAGAAAGGAGAGGTTCCTGCAAAGGGGTGGGGCATTGAGGGAACTAGCTCAGGAGGTTCCCCATGTCACGTGTGAATTTACCTTACCCTGAATACCAGGTGAGAGGATGGGCCAGAGTGACCCTGGGGCTGCCCAGAGGTGTGTCCTCTTTTACCCTTCTATGCACTCCCTTTCCTTCCCACTAGGCAACCTGATCTGTGTGGACTCCTCAACACAAGGATTACCGCACAGTTCGTTAATTCTATAAACAGGAACAAAATAATGCTGTAAGGAAAAATGTGATGAATTTATCCAACACAGCAGTTCTTGCCTTTAAAAAGAGAAGATACAAAACACCATGTCTAATTCAGTCATGAAATGGTCTTTCTGGACTGTTATGGCCAAAGAAAAGAACACTTACCTTTCTGTAAGAAGTCTAAAACACGTCGCTAGATGACTCTAAATGGGCTCTTTACTGTTTTGTCCTCTTCATTCCTCTGTGAAATGATAAAAGAATATTTCACTTCTCCTCCACATTTGATTTTCTAACTTTGATATAAGCTTTTCAATTAAAAATTATACTACTTGCTAGCTGCATCCTTAGACTACCTTTTTACTTCATTAAAGGGAGATCTAGAAAATATTTCCCATTTCAAGGAGGGAACAGAGTAGCTACGAGACTGTGCTGTCATGTGGAGCATCAATTCACTTGTGTGTTCTTTCGAAAGACATCAGCACTTCCAGCTACTCTTTTAATCATTCACACTGTGTTTACTCTTCCCCTGTGACTTCTATTCTTCCACAAGCTGTTTTAAAGTTGCTTCTTATAGAACCTTTCTAAAAAGGGCAACATATTTTCCTCACAAAAATCCAACCTAGGATTCACTCGCTATTTTGGGTAAAGCAATGACAGAAGAAATTTTATGGTTCCACTCTTGGCAATGGCTCCACTCGCTCTGCATACAATCACAGAGCACTGTATTTTCCTTCCAGGCGCCCAATACTTCAGGCCTTGTTCCTTAACTAATCTTCTTCCCAGAAAGCCTCTCCCTCCCTGTTCTGCATGCTTAACACTATATGTGTCCATTTACAATCCTGTGCCCCTGCTTTCCCATCTGCACCGATGGCAGGATAAAGTTCAAGACCTCTAGTCAACCCTCAGACATGTCCCTGCTGGTCTGGGTGGACGCGGGCAGCACTGGCCACTGTTATTCCCTGTGCAGCCTGTCATGGGCTCATAGAAAGCATCCTGCTGTGCGTACAGCCCAGACCTTTCCCACTGTGCTAATTGCTGGAAAAATCTTTTTCCTTTTCTTTGCCAACTAAATTTTAGCTATCCTGATTTCAGCTGAGGCCTCCTTCCTCAGTACTACTTTCTCTGTACTCTGCAATTTGAAGGGGGGCACCCCTTCTCTGTATGGTCCATGGCATGATGTGGCAGCAGAAATGACCAAATGAGACAAAGAGATGTTGTCTAATGGGTCCAGAACTTCCTTGAGCAAGGCTGAGTCCACTTTCAGTCAGCTTGGGGCTTCCAATCTGATTAAAACATGTTCAGATAAGACAAGGTGGGGCACATGACTGGTCCCCACAAGTCAGTACAGGGAGGTGCAAGTAAACCACTTCCAGTGAGAATGAGAATCAGCAGGAGGCTAGGGCCACAGGGTCAGTGTCCACAGCAGGATTTGGGTGTAGCATTGGAGGCTGCTGTGGGTGGCTGAACCTCTCCTCACCAGCTGTGGTCTTCTGGGTCCTTCTACCCTCTACCACCCCTACCCTCTAAAAAAATCCTCTCCTAGTAATTGGGAGTTTAGTAGAAGCATAATTGCTTAATGCCACAGAGACAGGGCCACCTGGGTTTTCTCTTCAGGGATCAACACAATTTACCTTAACCCTTGTCCCAGTGGCCTGAAGTGAACTTCTAAACATTTTACATGTAGATGTCTGGCTAAGGCCAGATAGCCACAGTAGAAGATGACTTGCCTGTGATCATAAAAATGGCAATCTAATAGCTCATATAACATTATTAATATATTCTTGCATTTAATATTCATAACATTTTTGTAAGGCTGTTACCATTACTATCTTTATATATGTGTGTGTGTGTGTGTGTGTGTGTGTGTGTGTATATATATAAAAATCTGTAGCATTGTAGTTTACCGACTGTGCCCCAAGTTATGCAACTAGTGAGAGTCAGAGTTTAGCCTCATAAGTATTCTTTTCATTTTTTTTTTCAATTCAGGGCAAGAGACTTGGCCAAAGCTTTTCTGCTCTGAGTCCAGACAGAAACTCACATGTTTGTGGGAGACAGAGTCTTCAACACTTCCTTGACTTTTCCTCTTATGGCATCCTCTGGGACCTGAGGGCCTCTCATTACGTGAAATATGAAAATGGCACATATTTAATTATTCATTTCCCATGGCATTTAATGAGGGGATTAACTGCAGAGTGAAACAAAAGGAAATAGTTTGACCTTCAGGCTGTCAGGAAATGATAATTAACTAAAACCTCCAGTCAGTTTAAATGGACAAATGAAAGGGTTTTAATGATCTGGATGCAAATGAGTCATAAGGATCACTAATTGAAGTCACGCAATGAAACAATGACAATGAGAAAATAAACATGTACTAAAAATATGTTTTCTTAATTATGTGCACAGGTGCTCTTTGGGCATTTTCAGAACTCCTTTAATTTTGCTTATGTCAGAGAGTTTTGAGTGTGGGTGGAGAAAGGACACAGGCTGTGGCGTGCAGGGCACACAGGGGAGAGGAGGCTGGTGCACACCAGAGGCTGGGAGTCAATTTTCAGAGGAGGAAGCACATTCATTGTAAGGTAGAGGCTAACTTGAAGCTCTGTCCATCACAGCCTCAAGACCAACTGGTTGGTTTTTCATTACATGGTTGACTGGTGTGACCAAAAGTTATTGTGGGAATGATTCATGGCCATTTTTCTGTATAGTATATAAACATAGACTTTTAATCTAGACCACCATCAAGATGCTCATAAATAGCTGCAGATTACTACCTGGTGCAACTTGTGCCTTCACTGTAGCTTCTGGCAGACCAGATGGGAGCCACATTCCTGGATTTGGTGCAGGGCCCATCTTCTTATTAATCATTTAATAAGCACAGTGTGGTAAGTGTCATGCAGAAGACAGGATGGCATCCTCCTTGCCCCGTTCTCCCCCAGGACAACACATTTTTCAAAAGCCCATCAAGCCTTAAAAGTCTCTACACACAGAAACTGCATGATATATAAATATATGTCTGCTCAAAATTGGCAAAATGAGTCACTATTAATAACTCAGAGTCATGGGGATTCAGGCAGTCCAATTCCTCTGCCAAAAGTTCAGAATGTTTGCTTAGTGCTTAGATTTTAAAAAAAGAAAAAAAAAACTCTGTTCTTGGTTTGCTTCAGTACATTTCGTATTTAAATACTCTACCGAATATGTCAAACTTTATCTGTGACCTTACTAGGGCATACCAGAACATACCAGAATAGGAGACCTTTAAAGTTACTGGGGTTTTAAAAATTGTGCCTGCCTAACAAGCATTTTCCACTTTTCTCTACCATAGCAACCATCCTCTGTGCCATATATGCAGGAATTGATAGAGGAAAAGTGAGGAAACTCTCTGAGTTATGTATATTGATAAAAATATTGTTATTAAATATTTCTTGAACATGACTTCCAGAAATAATACTTCAATATGTCATTGCTAAACCTCACATCACCCCTACAAAGTACATGTTACTCTCACTTCACAAACCAAGGCTCAGCAATTAAGCATCTGGCCTGAGCTGATGTACAAGTGACTTTCAGCCCTGGAATATAAACCCAATGCTCTTTTGTTTGAGCCATATGAAGCTGCTGGTAGTCAATTATTTCTGACCAAAATGGCAATTTTACAGTTTAACAATACTATAAATGTCCCTGAAAGGAAATTTAGAATCTCCTGAAAGCACAGACTATTCCTTGTAGATCTGGAGCATGTTGATAGGAAAGCTATAAAGACAGTATAGAGGGGAGGAGGGAGAAGGGAATGACAGTGTAATCTGTTATCTTCGTGCCAATTCCTGTTGCTATTACAAATAAAGATATGATGTTAAACTGCAGCAAAAGACAGCAAAGCATGTCAAAAATTCTTTAACCACTTAACAGTTCACTCAAGCGCTGCTCAGGCATTTGTCATTTCAACCAGCCCATTCTTGTTTGCACAAGACACACTTGTATGTCTTCTTCTTTGTTCTATATTGACTATTTCTACATGCTTTTGTACTTAGAGTGTTGCATTCGCCTTTGATGTTCATTTCTAGTAAAATCTAATAACAGTAATTTCTGATTTCTAATCTAATTTCTAGTAAAATCTAATAAATTCTATTATTAAGTTCTAAAAATATATTTCTTTCACCAATTTGTGAAAAATAACAATTATTGTAAGTACATTAGACAAAATTTTTATAGTTCTGCAGAACTCAATAATATTCTTTTACAGTAAAAACAGGCATGTTTGGGACACTGAATAGGAAGGAAGTATCAAAAGATCTGCAAAAGAAAAAGCTTTAAAAGGGAGAAATGTTAGTACGTCAGAGAAAAAGTCTGTCATTAAATGGAAAGACATGATGTCTCCTTATTGTCAACTGTTCATAATTCAGAAATGATAGAACTTGAAAGAAGAAATGAAACAAAAAATATTCCAATAGTGGTCAATTGTTATAATAATTTTATGGGTAGTGCTGACAGAGCTGACCAACATCTAACAAGCTATCCTGTAATCAAAAAATGAGGAAAATGTTATTATAAAATATTTACGCACTTTCTAGACCAACCAATATGGAACTCAATTGTTATATATTCAAAACAACAGGGTTCAAAAAGTCATTTACAATTTAGATTAGGTCTAACAGACCAAATAACTAAAAAATAGGGGATAGCAAAATGCTAACCAAAATATCACAATCAACGTCGTCACTTTACATTTAGTGGGTAGAGATTTTATTTAAATTATACCACCCACAGAAAAAAGGAAAGGCCAATGCAATAGTGTTTAGTGCGCTGTTCGAAGAAAGATATTTAACGAAAGAAGCATTGGGAAAGAGACTATACAGTACTGTCAGATCGTAACGTTGCATTGTGTATTTAATGTTTTGAAATATACTATACACAGGAAAAATTATTGAATAAATTTGACAAAATTGTCATTTATATACTTCCTGTTATATCATCTTATAAAAATTAACAAAAATATTCCATTTTTGGTCATCCTGTATTTAAACTGGATTAGCAAGCGGTCAATATTTATGTTTTTAATGCATTATATCTGAGAATTTCCAAATCACTCATGCCTACAACACTTCCTAAGCATTAAAATAATTTTGAGAATTTAGAAGTTTATAATGCTAACATATTTTGATAGAACCTGACTTTTAATAAGCAAGTAATCTATAAGCCTATAACAGGGATGTATTGAAAAGGTGACTTGGTAAGATTAGTTTCTTG